TCGATTCTGTAGTCAATAACTTAATATTTTGCTAGAAGGTTCTCTGGGCCTCTGTCACTGGAAGTGGCCAACAGACACTTGATGATTTTAGGCAGGCTTTTCTCTATCTTAAGGCTGTGATCTATCTCCCAGAGTGAGTGGGACTCAGGAGCTTCAGGATCCTGTTTCCCAAGCAGCATTTGCTGGTCCTGCCTGGTGCCTTGGCTTGGAGACACATCGCACCTGGCAGGTGCAGACAACAGGGGGGAAGAATTTGCAGTAAGTGTTGCATGAGGATTGCCTTAAGCATTTTTTAAGTGTTTGGTCCAAGTTCTGGGGGTAAAGCTAAGAAATTTTACTTCATCAACTTTGTCGCTATCCTGCTGCCTGAGATTGTAGGAAGGCTTTAGTTTGGTGCTTTACAGGGGTTGCAGCATGTTGTCATGGAAGTGGTCAAACATGGGACAAGCTTTCTTTGAGGAAGGATAGATGCCTGTTAAACCATCCCACCCCTTTTTTCATTGATATGCATTTTGAGTGCAGTCCAGTCTCTTTCCTTTCCTGACAGGGTTGTTGGCAAAGTTGTCATCCAAGAAGCCTAATTTGACTTTCTTGTACTTCACATTCTTGCATTTCTTCCCCCTCTCTGAGCCAGGTGAGGCATACAGACTTTAGTTCTCTTAGAGTATGAGCAGCTCCTAGAGGTGACTAAAGAGAGTTCAAAACCACAGGCAGATTCTTTGATCTATTGGCAGCTTTTGATCCCTTCGATCAAAAAACATTATTGACCTGTTTGTGAATGGCTGTGGTCTGAGTAGCCCTTTTGGCAATTTGAAAGGGAGTGGGGTGAGAGTAACTGGGGGAGATGATGCCTTTTTTCACTCCTATCCTATGGCTATCCAAAGTCTACGTTTTGGGGGAGACGAAAAACCCACATGGGCTGTGTAGCTATGCACACACAGATAACTCATGGATCTACATCTGTGCTTAAGCGTGTCTGCACGTCATCTCTCTGACCTGGACTTTGTCACAGCCACACCAGCCCATGAGCCGTTGGATTTGGATTGCAGTTTCTCAGAAACCTCAGCTGGTTCAGTATCAGGCCATGACTCAGCAGTGCTCCTTTTGAGGAATGTGGTCTCGGCAGGCTTTGCTGCTTCTAAATTGATTTCAGGTGCACATACGCTGTCAGATGCACAAATTTTTTTCTGGTTTTTTTTCATTTCTGGATGCTGAGCATCACTAGAGCATGGCCAATAGGATAAGTGGAAATCTCTTATTCACTGATGTGTACTTTGAATTACCATTCCCAAAACAGAGGCGGTAGAGGAGGATGATCATCAGCTGCTTTGGGGAAAAGTTAGTGTCTCGTCTTGAGCTGTCACTGAAGATGGGTTCATGCTGGATGTTGTATGGAAGCAACTGAGGTGCAGGCATATGTTGCATTCTGCTGACTTGGCTGTGGTGACACCAACCACAGCCAGCAAAGAAGAGCCAGCAACTGGGAACAGTAACATCTCAAACTGCAGCAGAGTGATTGGCCAGACCGCTCCTGTCGGCACTTGGATTCCCTTGCTGTTCATTGAGGAATTAAAAGTTAACTGGGGGTGGTGGTAAAAAATAGGTTTGCCTGCCTAGAAAATGTTAAAACCAATACTGAAAAGCAGAGGTGGATCTGAAGGTAGTTATCTCTCTTGGAGTTTATATGGGGATTAAAACACGCGTCATCATTGTAGCACATAGGCAATTTTATAATCACTGCTGGTATTTCACCTCAGGGTACTCTGTGGGAGGAAGAATTAATTTCCCATCTTTTTCTAAGTAATGGAGGCTTGTGATTTTCTGTCAGTCATAAAGGAGAGTCTGTGGCCAAACTAGATGCCAGAAGTGATTGAATAGTCTGGGATTGGTAAGGGTGTACCACCTTACCTCCAGAAATCAAAGTGGGGAAACATGCATGCAGAGAAATTCCACAAGATGTTACATGGCCATTTCACTTCCACAACAACAGGAAAAGACACTACAAGGTTGTGCAAGGCATAAGAAAAACTGCTGTGCAAAGCAGTGGCTGCAAAATTAAAATACAGGATGTTTTATTATATGCAATCCTCCCTCACACCCCCCTTGTTAAAGACAGAAACCTTTCTTAGTGAAAAAAAACACCTCATCTTGACTACAAGGCAATTTAGACCTTTCTTTTTTTTTCAAGGGGTTAAAGTGGCATGTTTGCACAACATCACCCTCACCCCAGCAAACCTGCCAGCAGTTGATAGATATAAATAGGGACATTTAGGGAGAAAAGCATATTTACGTTCCTTTGAAATGTGCTTGGCTAAAGGCATATTTTTAAGAGAGGGAGTGGAAAAACAAATGGAAAATATTTTATTTGAAAGGGAAAAAAGAAGAAACAAACTGTCCTTCCTAAACAGAGATGCTTGGCTTGTGTGTACTTTACACAGCTGCAGGTCAGACCTTGCAAACAACTACTAAATTAGGTCCAGCTACTTTGATGCTAAAAGCATGGAAGTGCCAATAATTAAGTTGCATCAGATGTAGGAAATGACTGATGTGTCTGTCATTCTCATGATAGCAGAGTTCACTCTGCTGCCATTTGACTGACCCCTCCTTCTATATGTAAGCAAAAAGAATTTTCTTCTGAAGAAAATCAGCTGGTTTTACACCTTTGTTTTGTTTTCTGAACTGCTAATTCCCTGAAGGTATAGAAGCTATTTGAAAGAGCAAATCAAAGCTCCAGTAATTTAGTGTTATATTATTCGTTGATGTATGGTTTGATTTAGTGGCTACTTATTATATCAAGTTACCATATAATTATCTTAATTATTGACTCCAGAAGTAAGTAGAGGGATTATGAGAGAGACAGGAAGGCCCAGTGGAAAGAGTATGGTTCAGAGAATCAAACACATTTTGGTGTGCTCTTGGCTCCACCACTCATTTTTTCTGAGCCTGGACTCCTCTCTCAGTCAGCCTGTCCATGAAATCAGGAGGGATTGCAGGAACAGGACTCAAATGCTGACTCAGGATTCAAAGAGATGCAGGAGAGCAGTATAAAAAGGCAAGGGGAAAGCTCTGAAAGATAACTGTAAAACTGGCAGAAAAAATAAAAGAATGCACTCCACAGCATGCATTTGCTCGGAAGAATGGAGCACCTCTGGGGGCATGGAGAAAGGGAGTTGTGCCGTCAAGACCTGAAATTTGAGACTGCATTTCCAGCCTCTGCTACTGATTTTCCCCACAAAATTAGGCAGCCCTCAGATCCCTTTCTGCAAAACAAAGGTGATAAAAATCATTCTCACAGCTTTTGTTTTAGCTGTTGGAATTATTGGAGCACTATTCCTCTAATCATGGTTCTCACGTGGCTTTTAGGCTCCTAGTCCTTTGTCTGATAACTACTGACCTAAGCCAAAGGTTTGAGTTAGCAGGCACCACTACAAGATAAAAGCCACACTGGAAGGCTGTCAATGCAGTCCATATTTCCTGTATTGATAATATTTGTCATATACTGACAAAATACTTCATCTATTGACAAGCTGAGTTGCATCTTTTCCCCTGAGAGAGGAGCACACACACTGGTTCTACTCAGCCTGTGCAAATTACTTTCTCTGCTTCTGCTTTTCTTTCCTGAGCCAAAAAATGGGGATAATAGAATGTATCTATTTCCTTCCTAGAAAAGATCAGTTAATGTGAAATGGTGCATGGTGGCTTAGTGCTGAATAAGTGGGATACCCTAATCCAGCAAGGTATCCTTGTTCTATTGTATGCCTTTTCTGCGTACCATCTGGAGTTGCTCTCTGCTTAGTATTTTCAGTATGTACCATATGTTTTTGCATGAAAATTCAATAAAATATGCATTATACATGAAAAGTGCTGTAGTAAATAAAGGAAGGATGGAATCCAGTCCCCTTTGTGAACGGCCAGGGCCCCAAATCTTCATAAAAGGTTTAGTCTAGTCTGACGTCTGTGCTTTTCTCCAATTTACTCAGTGTCAGTCTTTAGGAGATGCTCTAATTTAAAACAAAACTCTACTTTACTGATGAGGTTATTCGATGTTCTTTGGCTGCCCTCTGCTGAGAGCACTGAATAAAACAGGGAAGATGTCCTTTTTCCGAGGAAGGTAACTGTGGAAGAAGTTCCCTGTTTGTCCATGTGCTGTGTCCTGTCAGTGCTGCTGTTTGGTGTCTCTCGTTGTCTGTTTGTTGCCAGTCAGAGAGCAAAGTCTTCTGAGCTACAGCCCTGTTGGTGTTGTAGTGCCCACCACTCCTTGTCAAGGGCTGGATGGCTTTGTAGGATTGTGAAGATGTGGGCTCAGGCATTGACCATCATGAAAAATTATGCAGCATTAAGCAAGGGCTGGAGGAAACAGGCTTCTCTGCTTAGGCACTACTGCTGTCCTGCCAGGTGGGATTTGAGCAATACCTCAGCACCTCATCTCTTGGCAGAGCAATTTACCACTGTGTGCTGTTCCTCATCGGGGTTCCAGCATCTTCCAGAGCCATCTCCACCCCTCCACAGGCATCATAGCACCAGCACTTTGCTTTATTTCTATAGCTGGGAGAGTGTAGAGGGGTTGCTCCAACATTAACAAGAGTAACTAGGGGACTTGCTGTTTCCTGTGAACAAGGTGTGAGCCGTGCTCTTGCCCCTGGGAAGAAACAAGGATCCTGTGCAGATGTTGGTACAGTGTAAAACAACTGCTCTGTTATAGCTATTGATGCTCTTTGTAATGACCTGCTTTTAATACTTCCTAGCAAGTTGATTTATTATTATACCTTCAGCTGGGCTGTGCACCAAAGCATTTTGATGATGAAAGGAATGTTACACACACATTTAATTACTGCCCACATTTTTGTATAATTTTATCATTTACTGTTTTAGATGAGACATCGAGTTCTTCTACAGGAAAGATGCCCAGTAAAAAATAGATGATTTAAAAGCTAATCTGAGATGAGTTTGGCACTTACATGTGAGAAAACATAATTGTTCCTTTTGTCCTGCCCTTTCAGATGGTCCCTGATTACCAAAATGTACAAGAACTCCCTTATCTGGACATGGTGATTGCGGAGACATTGCGCATGTACCCACCTGCATTCAGGTATCTTTTTTTCGCCCTTCTGATTACACAGGATAGATATAATGTGGCCTGTTGAAGGAAAGCTGGATAATTCTGGTATTTCTAATGCACATTTTTACAGTGAATTGTCCAAGGTTGCTTCCTCACCATTCTTCACATCCCCCAAGGTTAGAGGACAGAACCATTTTGAAGCAGGTCTGGCCTTAGAAACACAGAGGCTGCTGCTTCCATGTGCCTCAGGCTTTAGGGATGTGCACCAAAACCCATCCCTTCCCTGTTGGTTATTATGGCCCTGATCTGTGGAAGGGTTGCCCAATCTGAAAGCTGTAGTTTACATGTGTGTTTAACTTTGGCCCAGTAACACCTAGCACTGCCTTATACTAATAGAGCTAATGGTAACATCCATTAGTTTTTGAAAGTTTTGTCCCAAATCACACATGACTTATTCTACTATATTGATGAACAGAAAGCAAGGGAAAAATAAAGTCAAAAACTGATTGTTAAAGCTCT